AATTAGAGGGGTGCCTGGGTGGCTCAGTTGTTAAGCGTCTGCCTTCGGCTCAGGTCATGATCCCAGGGTCCTGGGATCGAGCCCCGTGTCGGGCTCCCTGCTCCGCTGGAAGCCTGCTTCTCCCTCTCCCACTCCGCCCGGCTTGTATTCATTCGCTCTCTCTCTGTCTCTCTCTCTCTGTCAAATGAATAAAATAAAATCTTAAAAAAAAAAAAAATTAAGCATAAAAAAGTCCCAAGTCCAAAGAAAAAATTTAAAACTACTCAAATCTCCCATCCAAGTGCTCAGGTCATGATCCTGGAGTCCCTGGATTGAATCCCGCATCGGGCTCCCTGCTCAGCAGGGAGTCTGCTTCTCCCTCTGACCCTCCCCCCTCTCATGTGCTCTCTCTCTCATTCTCTCTCTCTCAGAATAAATAAATAAAATCTTTAAAAAAAAAAAACAACTACTCAAATCTCTCCAACTCAGATAAACGTGCCATTCATATTTGGTAGATATTCTTCTAGACATCTCGGTACACACACACAAACATACACACACTCATATAAACACCTAGTTTTACATAAAAAGATTAATACAATATATGACGCTCTGTTACTTGTCTTTTAGGACTAGACATTGTTTTCTCTCCACTTTTTTGTGTTTTCATGTCAGTAAATAGATACGTATGTCATAATTTTTAATGGTTACATTATACATCTACATCCATATCTGTATCTATATATACATGCATATATACTCAACTTTAACCTCCTATTGATATTTACATTGCAGCTTTCCCCCTCTATTATGTGTTTAGTTAATATTCTTGCACATTAATCATTTTGCATTTGTACAGTTACATTCTTAAATTCCTAGAAGTCTGATTGCTGAGCCAAGAGGTAAATTTTGGTGTATATTCCTTACCAAACTGCCCTCCAGAACTGTCAATCCAGTTGCAACACCCACTAGCAAAATAATAAAGAGTGCTTGTTTTTTCATACTTTCTCAATACTGGCTTTTGTCTTTCTTAAAAATTGACAAATGCCCAAAAATCATTTAAAAATTTGCATCTCTCTGATTATTAATGAAATCGCACATATTTCCAAGCGCTTATTGGGTGTTCTTATTTCTTCTTTGTTTAATTGCTTCAGTATTTTTATTGGGATGGTTGTCTTTTTCTCATTGACCTGTAAGAGATCTGTGAATATTGAGATATTGTTCTTTGGGCTTGGAGTTTGTCATTTGACTTTTAACTCTGCACACAGTGATTTTTAATTTAAACTAAATGTCACTTGTTTTTGTGTATAAAATTTTTGTCAAAAATTTAATCACTATGTCATTTTGTAGTTTTAAGCTTTTGTACCACAGTTAAGAATGAACATTGTCTTTCCAGGATTGCAGAAATACTTCCCCATATTTCCTCATAGAAGCCTTAGATTTTAACTTTTTTTACACGATAATCTTTGATCCATCTGGGATTTATTTTTGAATAAGGAGAAACATAAGCCAGTTTTATTTTTACTTACCCCAATTGCTAGCCAGTTGTCAGACTTCAAGAATACATACACCATTTTACAAGTGATTTAAAGTGACTCATTTTCTTATATTATTCCCTTATATATTTGAATCTATTTCTGAGCTGTGTTCTATTCAATTGACCTGTCTATTTCTGAGTCATTATTACTGAGTTTTTGTGTCTGTGGCTTTATACTATTTTTTTTAATAGAATAAGTATCCCTTCAATTTTCTTCTTTTTCAGATTTTCTGCTTTTTCCATATTCACTTGATGAACTAAAAATCATTTGGTCAAATGAAGAAAAGTCCTGCTGGAATTTTCCAGTAGAGTTGTGTATTATTTTTAGATTAATTGAGGAGAAATTGGCACTTTTATAACACTGGGTTGTATTTTTAAAAAATTCCCTATGGATTCAAGCATTCTTTTAGTTCTTTCAGTAGGCCCTGGCATTTAAAACGTGTTCTTCATGTAGGCCCTGGTGTTTAAAACATTTATCTAGATATTTTAATTCCTTGATTGTTGCTATGAATAGAGTTATTTCCTTTCATAATATTTCTAATTGTTAATTGATTTTTAAAAACCTGTTGACTTTTGTTTATTTATTTTATTTCCAGACACTTTAATGAGCACTCATACATTTTTAAAAATCATCTTTCAGTTGATTTTAGCCTTCAAAGGTCTCACCAGGTGGTACCCAGGAAACTAAAAAAGTAACTCTGCCTTACTGTAGGACGTGACTTGATGCAACTAGAGAATGGAGTCTAAAATAGGAGTTTATGGAATATAATTCATACATTCAGGAAGGATCAAATACGGGCCGACCCACATCACTGAAATGCAATATAAGTCAGACTAAGTATATTAGAATATGAATAAGCATGCTGCGCTCATGAGATTATTTAATATTGTGAGATGTCCTTGGGTACTCAGTTAATCTCTCAGGGTTAATCTTTGTGAATTCCACATTATTTATGGAGCAGAAGAGAGGCTGGATTTAATTAAGCCTGAAGATGGAATTCCCTGTTTGAGTAAGGAGTATGTGAAGGATGGAAGGGAAAACTGAACAGATTTCCTCAAGAATAGGAGTTTACGAGGTTGTGAATTTCAGGCTTGCTAATTTTTTTGTATAACCCCGCAAATAAAATATAACTTTTCTCATCCACAGTGATCCTCCTTCCTCCTTCCAGTAAACACCAATTGCCCTAACGACCCACATCCCAACCCCCCAGTAAGTAGGTGTAAGATGGTCTCACAGTGCCATCTGGTGGCCACCTGGGGAACTGTAGGAACTGGTCTCCCTGTTGGACTTCCTGCCTGGGTTGATATCCAGGAAGCTAGATCCAGGCTTGGGAACAAACAGCTTGTGCCTGTGGCTACAGGCAAAGAGAGAAGATAATCAAAATCCAAGTCCTGGCAAAGGCCTGCTGGGGGGAGCTGGGAAACACGGAAGAAGCCAAAAGGCTGTGTCCATCCACAGGAGTTGATAGCAAATACGAGATCTGAAAAGAGAGGTCTGCAAAGCAGCTCCAGCAGGAAAAGCCTGAATCAAAGCAAAAAAAAAAAAAAAAGAAAAGAAAAGAAATGGACTATCTCGGAGCAGGGATCAGCTTAACCGTATGCTTCCAGTCAGTTCCAACACCTTCCTTCAGGGGTTTCCTCATTTACCGGTTTGTGTGTGTGTGTGTGTTTTAATTGTCTTAAAATTTTTCCCACAACATAAAACTCAGATAATTTTAGATAATTCCCAAACAGCAAAGTCTATTCTCCATTTCCCTTCCTTGCTCCCTCTTTCCCCTCTTCCTCCTTTGCTCCCTCTTTCCTCCCTCCTTTTCTTTTTCCCCTTCCTTTTCAGCTCTAATTCTTGTGTTCTCAGGAGAACCGCCCTCTTTCTCATCCTTCATTCTGTTTGGGAGCCAAAACTTAATCCTAGTTATACCCGATAAACCTAGGGATAGTGCTTGCGGGTCAGCTTGATGGAGGAAAGGGACCTGAGGTTGTGAAATGAACCCATGCTACTAATGCCTGAATCCTTGGAAAGAATCAGGACCCCCATCCACGTTACCACAAGCCGCAGTCCTCCTGTTCAACCCGACATGACGACCCCAAGCACCTGGCTTCAAGATTTTTGTCTCTTTTATTCATTGCCATATCCCCAACTTTTAAAACAGCACCTGGCATACAGAAGGAGCTTAATTAGTATTTGTTGAAGGGATGAATAAATATTCTCAACGAATAAGCAAATGTGGCTGATTCCTTTCTGCTAATATTTCAGTTTTGCCTTGCCGTAAGTGCTGCAGTGATGCTAATTTTCATGGTGAAAGTATGATTTTTTTACTTTTGTGGGATAATTCAAGCAAAACACGTGAGGCTATTAGTAGCACAAAATAATTATTTTTAAAGTTCCAACCCACCAGCTGAGAGACTTTCAGAAAATAACCTGTTGGTAATTTGGGGGCTCTCTACCTTTCCTTTTCCTGTGTTAAGACTGTATCTTTTATATACATCCATGAAATAAAAAAACCAACAAAATGACCAACTTTTACCTGTCTTGGCTTCTTACGGGCTCTTTGCATTCTCCTCAAAATAGAAGCTAAGACCATTAAATACACAGAGAAGAAAACAAATTTGGAAAGCTGAAAACCATTAAACATTTAGCAAAAACATCTTGCTGTGCATGTTTTCTGTTTGCTGAGTCTCTTTTGCATTGGAAATCCTTGATGACAGAGATGGAGAAATATTTATTCTCCACGTAGAACTAAGCACAGAAAAAACATTGGCTTTACCTCCTATTTTTCAGAATTGTGCCCCTTTTTTGTGATCCTTCTCAGGAGAGAAGAGACGAGGTAGGCTGTTTTTATTTTATAGATTCTTCTGACATTACCCTGAGTGAGAATTTTCTGGGCATAACAACAACAAAAAAAAGATTACTTGCTACTTTCCATTCCAAAGCCCTAGGATTTCCTTAATATCTCACAAATCTCTGTGATCTTAAAGAAATGCTCTTGCTACTGTGCAAAGGGGAAGTTAAAATGAATTAAAAGCCGGTCTGAATTAAGACAGCCCGGGAGATCAGTGGGTGTATAATATCAGAGCGTGGTAGACCTTGGTTAATTTATGAGGATGTGTCACCACATCCTGCGTCAGGCTTGACATTTTGTTCCTGGCTGATTTCGGTGGCAGTGGTCTTGTGGGGGGCAGGGAGGGCGGATGTTTAACCTTTGGTTCACTGTGTGGAATTGGAGAGGCTGCAAGGTTCAAGAAGAGCGTGGCCTGGCATTACAGACAGAGGGCTCCGAGGCCAAACACCGGCGGTCCCTCTAGCTAAGTGTATGACCTGGACAGAAGTAGGTAACATCCCCGAGCCTTAGTTTACCTCTCTGTAAAATGGGCACTATGAGGCCTCCCTAGAAGGGCTGTCCTGAGGAATGGAGCTGCTGGGTAGAAAGCTGGCTGCTCAGGAGTGATCACAGAGTCACGTGCCCGCTTTCCATTTGTCCCCTAGGTACCTTGGGATCACGAGGCCGCTCACGTACCCTGTGAGGCAGAACGGGAAGTGCATGGCGAAAATGATTCTCTCCGTCTGGCTGCTTTCGGCCTCCATCACCTTACCCCCGCTCTTCGGGTGGGCTCAGAACGTAAACGACGACAAGGTGTGCTTGATCAGCCAGGATTTCGGCTACACCATCTACTCCACGGCAGTGGCGTTTTATATCCCCATGTCCGTCATGCTGTTCATGTACTACCAGATCTACAAGGCCGCCAGGAAGAGCGCCGCCAAGCACAAGTTCCCCGGCTTCCCCCGGCCCGAGGAGCCGGACAGCATCATCTCCCTGAACGGCATGGTGAAGCTCCAGAAGGAGGTGGAGGAGTGTGCCAACCTTTCGAGACTCCTCAAACACGAAAGGAAAAACATCTCCATCTTTAAGAGGGAGCAGAAAGCAGCCACCACCTTGGGGATCATCGTCGGGGCCTTCACCGTGTGCTGGCTGCCCTTTTTCCTCCTCTCCACGGCCAGACCCTTCATCTGTGGCACGGCCTGCAGCTGCATCCCGCTGTGGGTGGAGAGGACATTTCTGTGGCTGGGCTATGCAAACTCTCTCATTAACCCTTTTATATATGCCTTCTTCAACCGGGACCTGAGGACCACCTACCGCAGCCTACTCCAATGTCAGTACCGGAACATCAACCGCAAGCTGTCAGCTGCAGGCATGCACGAGGCCCTGAAGCTCGCCGAGAGGCCCGAGAGACCCGAGTTTGTGCTGTAAGGTCACTTATCACTATTTTCCTTTTATCCCCCGCCCCCCCCCCCGCCCTTGCTATGGAACCTCTCGGAGTGCATCCCAGAGGGCTCCCTGAATCCGTAGCCAGCTTATTTTCTACTAAGCAGAACGGATTCGAATTCAGGATACTCTAGACTCCAGTCCTCCAGCCAACAGAGTTCACAAAGCCAAAGTCAGGCACCTACAGGGCCTGGAAGACAGGACTGATGTGTCGAGGAATTGCAGTTGGTGTGATGCACAAGGAAGGTGGTGGTTCCCATCCTTTTCCCGTAAACGACATCCAAGTCATGTCCCGTAACTTGTCCCATTCTTGTAACATTGTTATTTTCGTCGCTATTAACTCTTATATCCAGTAAAGCTTTTTTGATGCCCTCATCCTTTGCTGATAAAGTTGTTTGAGGAAGGGAGCAGATTCACACGGGCTAGAAGCAAGCAGCCTGGGACAAAGGAGAGTGGCTAGCATGGGGACGTGCCAGGATGAGGCCGGTGTTGAAAGCTGCAGAGCTTTGAGGAAGCGCTGCCCACCTTCGGAGGAGAGAACCCGTAGTTGCTGAGTCTGTCTGGGAGGCCTCTGCATTTCTTGGAAGCAATTGCAGTAGGTGCTGGGATCTGAGGGCCAGTGGTAATAAGGAACAGGGGTTTCACATGCAACCCACTTGCTAGTGAGTTTGGCATGGTAAAGAAGGGGATGATAGAGTAATTAGGGTGGTCAGCATGTCGCACCCCGATTTTGCTTTAAATCTGAGGCAGAGGCAACATCCTCCTGTTTGAAAGCTGTTTGAGGGCAAAGAAACTGGAAGGAGAAGATGGAAGGTGCTGGTGGGAGAGGGGGAGGCACTCCTCTTCACTGGACCCAGTGGGAGGGAGCAGCCAGAGAACCATGGGCTGCCTGTCAGCCAACTTGCCTGGGCCCTTCATTTGACAGAAGAGGTAACAGACCTGGGGACTAAGGTGGCCCCCAGTGAGCTAGTGCACCCCTAGGTCTAGCTCCCACCTCATCTGAATTTTACTTCTGTAAATTCTTCATATATTAGGTTCCTTTATGGGTAACAACCATGTCAAAGGACACCTTCCTGCTCCCAGTTGTCCCAGGAGAATAGCCCTGCTCCAGGCGGACACCGAAGTGTCCTCACGGATCACAACAGACTCCAGAAGCTCCAAACCTAGGATACCCACCAGATGACTCCGAAAACCTCTAGGAACTCAGCGTGTTCTCTAACTTCACCAACATAGCATCCAGGGATATTTGCCTCTGGGTCTTTAGCTAGTATGGAGGCTTAGGTATTGTTTTCCTGTCAGTTTAAGACAGGAGTCAGCAAACTTTTACTCTGAAGGGCCAGACAGTAAGTGTGTTAGGCTTTGCTAGCCATAGGTCTCTTGAAACTACTCATCTCTGCCTTTGCAGTGAGAAAGCAGTCATCGGCACAAGTAAGCAAATGAGCATGGTCATGCACCAGTAAAACTTTATTTACAAAAACAGGCCGCCAGTTGAATTTGGCCCACAGGTCATAGTTTGCTGACCCCTGGTCTAAGAAAATGACTGTCCTCTCATTACATCTCATTACATCTCACGCTGTTTGATTTATAATTATTGATTTTATGTATAATTATAGCATATGAAAATTTGGGATTTTAGTGTAGACAAGTGGTTCCCAACCAGAGTTGGTTTTTCCCCCAGGGGACATTTGACAGTGTCTAGAGACATGTTTGGTTGTCGCATCTGGGGGAGGGGAGGACCTACTGGCATCCAGTGGATGCTGCTCAGCATCCCATAACGCAGAGGCAGCCCCCCCCCCGCACAACAAAGAATTACCCCACCCCAAATTCTATAATGCTGAAGTTGCAAAGCCCTAATGTGGACAGAAGAGAGCCATTGATTGGATCTCTGCAAGTAGGAGAATGGGAATCATCAAAGTGACAGAGACGGATCCAGGGGCACCAGGTGAGATGAATCAGAAGGCAGATGCTGGAGGTAAAGTCTCTTCAGTGGCTGGATTTCTCCAGAAACATTTGAGGCCTACTACGTACAAGGCATGACGCCAGGCATGTCGAGGGGTGGAGATATGAATAGGTGACAGTCCTGGTTTCTGGAAGCTCACAGTCCCAGTGGGCTGGGGTGGGGAAAGATGTGGCAGTCGTGGTTAGTGAAAGACTAGTAATCAGAATATCCTGTACTTGCATTCCAGTACATACCAGCTGGATGACCCGAACAACTCATAACTCTACTGGAGGCTCTGGAAGAATGACTGGTGTCTAACCCATAGCTCACAGCAAACCTTCGCAGGATCCTTTGTCCCCCCGACATGTCTCTCCAGCCGTTTCCTCCCTCTCTGGCTGCTTGGGTTCTAATCTTGTTCACTTACGCCCCTAACTCTGCCTTCTTGGCTCTACTTTTCCCTCCTACATAATAGTTTTCTTTCTTTTCCATGTAAATGCTCTACTAGACCGTGTATTTCTACTTCCAAATATCCACCCATTTCTCCCCATTTTCTTGATCAGCATAGTGAGAGACTCAGGAGTCCAACAGGTGTTTGGGTGGGCAGTAGATAGAGAGAAAAGGCTATGTATGCTTCTCTGGTCATTTTAATTCAGTTCTAATTTATAACCTCTTTCACCTTTTCACAAGTACCCAAATCTGGTAATACAAAACCAAGTGTGATAATGTGATAGAAGCAGGGATTCTTGTGCTTTTCTTTTTAATTTGACAGCAGCCTCATTTATGGAGTTGCTTTTGATTGCCATAAATTGTTTTTAAGTGTCACACTGTGATTTTCATTCTTTGACACTGTTATTGTGTACAATATAGAAAAGCAGTTTTGGGGGCACCTAGGTGGCTCAGTCGGTCAGGCGTCTGCCTTCGGCTCAGGTCATGATCCGGGGTCCTGGGATCGAGCCCCGCGTCAGGCTCCCTGCTCAGCGGGGAGTCTGCTTCTCCCTCTCCCACTGCCCCTCTCCCCGCCCGTTCTCTCTATCTCTTAAATAAATAAAATCTTTTAAAAAAGAAAAAAAGAGAAGCCGTTTTTAAAATACTTCCATATAGAAGAATTTCATGAAATTGTTTTGAAGTAGCTCTCCCTTCGCCTCTCCCTTCTTCTCCTTGGTGATCATATTGCCTTTCTCTTCACAAAGCCTCTCATAATCCATGCTGATTGCAGTGGTGAGTGGTAGCAGAGTGACCTTGGCTTCTTTTTATGAGTTCTGTCAATCCGCTGCTCCAGGCTTTGTGCTGTAGCTTTGGAGTTCAGGGTGATTCTACCTTTTGTTTATGGAAACCTGTGGTTAAAAAAAAAAAAAAAAATTAAAAGGAAATGGGTCCTAGTGGAAACTGGGAGGAAGCACCAAGGCCCTGAAGCTCTGGGTATCTGTGCCGGGATGTTGCCTTAAAGGCAGAAACAAATAACACAGTTGGTATTTCATGGATTCCACTCCCCACTCCCACCCCCCAACAATATTTTCCTCATCATTAACTAGATGTAATTCAACACTTTGTTTTTATTAAATCATCAATTAGTAATAACCACAGCTTGTTTGCTTTGCCATTGCCTGCATTCTAACTTTGCAATATCTCTTTAAAATAGGCAGGCAATTGGCCTCTCTTGCTTTTTCGAACATATTTTTTTTGTTGTTGTTTTCTGAGTAGATACACATAACACCAAATAAACTCAAGCAGTAACAGGGGTGCCTGGGTGGCTCAATTAGGCATCTTCCTTCAGCTCAGGTCATGATGTCAGGGTCTTGGGATGGAGCCCTGTGTCGGGCTCCCTGCTCAGGTTTGAGTCTG